ACCATCCAGGGTGAGTACAGGTTTAGAATCCTGCCAGTCTTGTAGAAGTACTTTGCACTTCGAAGGTGCAAAGCACATACCATACCTACGGACACTATTTGCCAACTGATCAAGTGCGGATTGGATGCCTTGGGCATTATCGCACAGTAAGACAATATCGTCCGCGTACTCAAGGTCGAGAAGTATTTCTCCAGGCAACAGATCCACACCACCATTACATACATTCATCAGAGCTGTTCCCAGAATGTCATCGATGGCAAAGTTGAAGAGGAATGGTGAGATTGGGCAACCCTGTCTAACCATACTGCTCGAATGGAACAGTGGAGAAAGGTGGTTGTATGCCCTCACTCTACCTGAGGTGTTTGAATATGGGGCCTTAAGGATGTTAATAAACTTCTCAGGCACACCCTTCTTCAAGAGAACAGTCCTGTCCAACGAATCGAAAGCAGCCCTGACGTCAGGAAACACTACGATAAGTAAGTATGACGGTGTTCTAACATTTGGCGAAGGGTGAAGATATGATCAATACATCCTCGACCAGAACGAAACCCAGCCTGCTCCTCGCGAGTCAATCTTTCTCGGGTTTTGAACAACCTACGAAGTATGACGGAAGCCAATAGCTTGGACGCAATCGGAAGTAGACTTATCCCCCGATAGTTGTTACAGGAACGACGTGAACCCTTTTTAAAGATAGGGACAACTACCGACTCATTCCATGACGTTGGTACACTCTCTAGCTCCCAGACCTTTGTAAACAACGTCATCAGTTCCTTAGTCAGAAAGTCACCACCATCTTTAAAAAGAACCGGAGCTAAGCCATCTGGGCCAGGTGATTTGTGGTGCTTCAAGAGTTGGAGTTCCTTGCAGACTTCCTCCTCATTTGGTGGATCAATCGTCACCGGCCATGGAGGGCAGGACAGTCTGACCGATGTTGCCGGAGCAGCAGGCCAGTTGAACTGCCCTTCGAAGAATTCTGCCCATCGACCAAGACGTCGATGGATGTTAGTGATTGGCATCCTGTCACCCTCATAGATTGTTTCGCTTACACCAGACGTTTTGCTGCCAGTGGCTCGGATGAGCTGGAAGAGCTTCCGGTAGTTACCAGATACAGCTGCTGCTTCCAGCTCATTAGCAAGCACCGACCACCAGGCTTCTCGATCCTTACGCAAGCTTTGCCCAATTTCCTTACATAACATCCTTCGTTTATGGTCAAACTCACGGTCACCCGGAGTAGACCGACGGGCTTCAATGAGTTGTTAGGAACCCGAAGAAACCCAGTGCTTATACGCGGGACGTTTCGCGAAGCCACAGGCGGCTTTACTCGCCATTTTCATGGCGTCATGCAATTGCGACCAATGCTCATCTATACTTTTCGGTGGGATGGTAGCTAGCCTAGAAGCTAGCTCGGTTCGATAAACACTAGCAACAGAAGTTGCAACCAACTTACTGACATCAATCCGTTGGTGGCGGTCACTTCGTTGGCCACTGAAAAGTGAGGTAAGATTGGTGCAGACCAGGGCATAATCAGAGTCCAGATAGGTACTCCAAAAGGAGCGGCAGTCTTGTACACAACCACGCTAGCGGTAGCTGATCGTGATGTGATCAATCTGAGTCCAGGCTTGAGAGGCAGAGGGAGGACGCCAGGTGGCATATCGGCGATGACTGTTCCGAAAGTTAGTGCTAGTCAGAAACAGGTTGTGGTCTGTTTACAGTTGCAGTAGACGATCCCCCTCATCTGTCCTGAGACCAAAAAGTCCCTATCGGCCACCTAAACGATTCTCTTCTGTGCCTAGACGCCCGACCTGAGCATTTAAGTCTCCGACTAGTACTACAATATCTGTCGAACGCACTTTCTTGAGAAGAACAGTTAACTGGTGGTAGAATTCATCCTTGATTGCATCCGGGCTGCAATCTGTCGGGGTATAGGCAGAGATGACGAAAAGACATCGTTTCTCACGCCGATTTCTTCTAACTTTGATGGAACTTTCTGGTCTAACAGCAAATAACCGACTGTTAATGGGGATCCAATCGATTAGTGCTGCCTCACCTCTATCGTTTAGTGCGACACCAACGCCAGCAAGACCAGACGAAGATGCCACAGGGTCTCCGAATAAACGCACGTAAAACAAGTTTTTGAAGTGACAGATGTAGAGCGAATTTGTAGTACTTCACCACAGCCTTCAATACGGGTCTCTAATAGACAACAAACGTCGATATTAAGACTTTCCAAGGACATAGCCAGCCCTATCTGTTGTTTGACCTGTATGAGTATGGGAACGTTGAAGGCAGCCAGTTTGAATGGTGCACGTGGTTTCAAAAAAACTGCTTCAGTATTCGTATTTGGTGGTAACATACAATTTTCAACCTGGCAGTGACTCAAGAACATTTAGATAGAACCGAGTTTACACCATAAGCGAGCTGCTGTATAAGTCGAAAAATAAGGATGCACAAAGTGGGAATAAAAGAGAGTGAATAAGTGACGTGGTAAATAATAATAATAATAATAATAATAATAATAATAATAATAATTTTCGAAAAAACACCCCCGCCACGAGAAGGCAGTGAGTAGGACTTCTCTGGCAGAGGCTGTATATGCGTGACCGTGTGAGAGTATTTCGAGAGGGAGGGCGGGCCTACCCTACTCTCGGCCATACCAGGGCATTGGAGGCAGAGATCATTTACTGATTAATGTCATAAAAATTCATAGGTATTTTAAAATTATTGCTCATAATCTAACAGTTTACCTGCTTAGATGCAGCAGGTTATATCTATCACACATGGCGAACTTTTTCAAAACGCACTTCGGAATATTATTTTGTCTGGCTCTCCAAAGAATTACAGAAGTCACTGAAAAGCTCAATCTTGGAGCATCTAGTCAATTCTGAACACTCTGCTTCACCAGAAGCCTCCTTCAAAATCACACATAAAGTCAGGAGAGTTGGTTCAGTAAGAATGTAAATGAAAAACTTATGTACAGCAAAGGCTATGGCTATTCACCAATTCAACCCTAACGTTTATGTACAAAAAACAGGATGTTCAGTCCTTCATTGTTTTATGATCCCAACCTCTCTATCTTTCGTAATCTATAGTGTTTTTTAATTTTGTCATTTATACTATTTTCCAATTATGTTCACAGCTAATAATTAACGAATACCACAACTTTTAATTATTCTGTAGAATAGCTATCAAGTGGATAATTATCTTCACCTTACCACTTTTTCAATGGCCAACTGTTACGTAACTCACGTTCAATACCTGATTTTCAATTCCTGACAATGCCACTTCAATGAGTTTATAGGCATCAATGCCAAGGTTGGACTTGATAATCCCAAATAAGTTGAGCATTAAGTAGAAAGTTAGTAATCAACAAATTTTTGTTATATCCCAGAGTAAATTTACTCTGAAGAAGTGGCTTACATTAAGTCACAAAACGTCAGAAATATAATATTTCTACTCATTGGGATATAACAAGAATTTGTTTATTGTTATACCGCTTCAAATCTTTGAAATGATTAGTATCGTTCCATCTTGCAATAAAACACTATTTTAGCAAATAAAATCAACTATAAATACAACTATACAGCCTAATGAAATCGTCGTAGAGAAAATTTTCTACGATGTATTGCCTTCTTTCTTCTTCAATGACAATTTAACTACTAATAAGTAGTATACTTTTTAGATTGGTAAGAATTCGTTTGCTAGATCAAGCATTCTGTTGTTGTAGTAGTCTTCAAAACCTTTTTGATCCAAGTCCCTAGAAGCTAGGAAAACCAAGAAAAGTTTTACCCAGTCAGCGTTGAATGGAATCTTTGCAGAAATACCTAAAAAAAGTTGAATCACGTGCCATAGCTTTGATGGGATGTTGATCTATATTGCTACTATATTCCATGAATATTCGAAGCCAAAGGTCGCGTGTGGTTTTATAAATACCCACATTTTCAAGTACTTAAATTAACCTTAGAATAAAACTTTAACTCACAATTTGTGCCTTCTCTCTGGTGTTTCAGTTGTCGTGTAGAAGTAGCTGGGGATATCTCAACCTTCTAAAAGGACAGTTTAGGCGTGGCAATAGCAATACTTATCATCCATGACTTAACAAGTATTTTTTAAGTAACTAATAATGAAGGTTTATTAAATTATACATTTTATGTTATGTAGTGTTGGAAGGAAAAACTAAAGATGTGTTAAACCCTTATACTTTTACAGGTAGTTTTCTCTAAGCATTCTAATTATGAAACGCATCATTTTATGAAGCCTAAGATTTATTCCAACGACTATAAAATTCATAATAAACAATTAATTGAAATAACGAGAGTATAAACTAACAATGAAAGGTTTATATGTAAGCCGTAAATTATTTTATCCGATTATTTCAGTTACAATATTTTTGAGCTAATAAGATTTTAACTAACTGAATAGGTGACAGTTTTGATATTAAATTCTCTTTCACTAACAAAAATTCCATTCATTTTGATGCACACTCATGTAGGTCTTTAAACAAAGATGAAACAGATATCTAGTGTTCGATGGTTTTCAGTTACTCACTCACTAGCTGATGACAGTTTATAGTGAAAACGATTTTCAATTAAGTTTAGTTTCAATAGTTGAAATCATGAGTCAATTGAAGTTAGACCACAATAGAAAACCTGAAAGCACTGGACGGCCATCTCGTCCTATCGTGGGACTCCTCAGTGGTGGTCTAGTGGTTAAGTGCTCGCGCACGGAACCAGTAGGTCCTGGGTTCGAATCTCGCGGGGAGGCGGGGTCGTGGATGCGTACTGCTGAGGAGTCCCACAATAGGACGAAACGGCCGCCCAGTGCTTCTAGGTTTTTCATGGTGGTCTAGCTTTAACTGACTCATGATCTTAACCATTGAAGTTGAAATAAAATAATTAATTTTGAAATGACTAATATGTAAACCTGAATGAGTTTATGCATTACATAAAGTTGTAAGAATAATGATCAAAATAATTATAGGAGATGACAATCAATCTGCATACCTCTATTCCGTAAGTTGTTCGCATTTTCATTCTCAATCCTACTAATCCACACCATGGTAAACATGGATAACACGTTTTTTCATTCATTGCTTTTGTCAGTTGATTTAATAGACAGAAGTAACAACATACCGCAAAACAACCTGTAAATTTTTATTATTAAATATCACTGTAAATATATATTGTGTATATAAAGAGAGAAAGAATCAATATTATTTTGTAAAAATAAAGTACCGATTTTGGATAATAGAAACGAATCTAATGTTACATGTTACTTCATAATCACAATCTAATCTTAACTGACTTTTAGCACTTGGCAATAAAACATAACTCCACATAACTTTACATTATGTAGTTCTGTCGTGTGCCATTCAGTGATTCAATCAGAATATTAATCATAGATCAATAGACATGCATTTTATATTAATGATACACAATTGTTTAAATTTCTTGTTAAGTAAATAGTCTTTATCATGTAGGCGCAATCAATGAATAACGTATCATACTAATTAATTTATTAGTTGTAGTAGGGATCGGAATAGAAGAAAATGTATCAGCATTTAAGCTACTCCATGTACGTGTTTACATAAACAAATTATGTAATCATGTTTAGATACATTGTTAATAAAAATGGCTTTCGATGAACTGACATGTTAGTTGAATATTTACCGAGTTGTTTATATTGATTCATTCTAAATTAGACCTTAAAGGAGTATGCGGCAAATGCTGAGAGTAAATTTGAAATGTCTCAGCCATTTTGTTAACTAATTAGTACGTAAATCGTTAAAATCGGGAATATGTCATTAAACAATTCAGTGAATATAGTATTATTGCTTGACTTATTAAATTTTTAGGGTTTGTAGTAAGTTTCAATGGGTTTTCGATTACAAGCAATTAATCAGTCAAAAGACGATTACCTTCTGTTTGGGTCATTTAACAGGATATAAGTAGTTTTATCTAGGATTTCCTAAAGTACATTGTTATGTCCCGACAAGAATAATGAATGGTAACTTTTGGAATCTATTGATGGACCAAAACTAAACGTATATTTCTATTATATAGCTATTAAGTAACTAAGCTATGCATATTCATATTCTTCTTATCATAAGCTTTATTTTGACCCATAAACTATTATTATACGTTTTACCATTCTTGAGTTATATCCAGCATATTAATTACTAGCTCCCTCATTCACGGCCACATCTGGCTAATTCTTGTACAAATGTTATTTCATACTTTATTGATACGTTGTGGTTTGTTTGATTGGTATATAAACTCAGTATGTCTGAAATATAATGATTTATATTGTAGAGGCTGAGACTGGTATTCTGGAATTAACTGGTTGGGCTAGGCGGAAAGCAGGACCAATCAGAACTCTAGGCTGTTTTAAGCGCCCTTGATCTGATTGACAATTCACTGCCCTCTAATCGGCAGTCACAAGTTATAACACATATAATGTGTTTATTCACGAACTCCATAGAAAAGTAGACAATTTGAGATCATATTCTGAGACCCTCTGTCAATTAAATCTTTCATTCTTTCAAACAACTTACATCTAACAAAGATAGTTATTATTTAGTGAGCTAGTAATTATATTATTTGGTCATGAGTTAATGGTTATCAAAAGTAAAAGAAACAGACTTTTATCACATTAAGTTTCGTATCATGTAATGAACCTACAAATAGAATATTGTTCATAAATCAATTAATAATCAGAATGACTTTTGTGGAGATTTTAAAAATTTCACTGGTTGAAATCATGAGTCAATTGAAGCTAGACCACCATGGAAAACCTGGAAGAACTGGACGGCCGTTTCGTCCCAGTGTGGGACTCCTCAGCAGTGCGCATCCACGATCCAGCCCCCCCCCCGCGAGATTCGAACCCAGGACCTATCAGTCTCGCGCCAGGCACTTAACCAACTAGACCAGAGTGATAGATCCTGAGTTAGAATCTCGCGGGGGGCGGGATCGTGGATGCGCACTGCTGAGTTCCGTTAATAATCGTTCAATTAACTAATACCTTTTGTAAATTATGCATAGATCATTATCAGAATTAGTCAATTATTATTATTTAGCAAATTAAATTATCAAATCATTTATAAAAATCACAGACGCAACAATTTGGTCATTTTTTTCAAAATTCCATTGATTTCACATCTAATACTAAGTGTACTAATCACTAATATTGCTGATGGATTCTTATCTATCAAAAGAAATCAGACCTGACAGCCGAAACCCAACATGTTCAATGTTTACATCTCTAAATATGACACTAGAGAATCTAGGTTTGAAATTTACAAGTGGATCAACTTCCTGTAAATTGAAAATATTCTTCACTGATAAGTGTTGGCCGACTATTTCTAATTAATTGAAATAAAAACAAAGCTATTACCACTTTAGTCATGTATTAGAACTAGTGTAGAACGGCATAACTTTCTATTCTAACTCCCTGATTTAAATACACATGTGTCATGAAATGTTTACATCCGATAGAATATAAATCTATTTTTATATTATTGCATCAGAAGCTAATCATCAGAATTAAAACATGAAAATTTTAGTTAAACTAACCCCAATCCCTATTTTTACAACAATAACAAATCCCACTAGTCCATTGTCGATGAGGTGGAGGTACCAGAGTTAGATTACGTGGTGGTACTGATTTTCCAGGTTGATCAAGTATCGTTCCAACTTCTTTTTTAGATTGCATCTTTATTATATTCCAGTAGGACTATATTTAATGTTCGATTAAGCGTCTTTATTATGAAAACTGAACAGAATCAATAATGTAAAAACTTATCGTTAGAAAATTTAGAAACAAACCTGATATCACTCGATTTGGTAAATAATCTGAATGGATTTGTTTTAGAATAGAATAAATAGACAATTATACAAACATAAGACATATCTGTCGAGACAAAAAATGAGGGTGATTAAATGAGCAAGTTAATAAAGTTAGATCATTTGTAAAATTTAACTGATAAAATTAATTGATTTGACAGAGAAATCACTTAGTAATTTTAACCAAACTTGTCAATGAAATAACTACAAGTTCATTATTGTAACTGGATTACAACACCATCAATTTATAAGATTATAAAGCTTATCATAGAAAGAAGAATCTAACAAAAATGAGCTCACCTGCTTTTTAATTGTAACTTAATTTGTTTAATCAATGTTACATTATTAAAAATTAAATACAGAGAAGCATAAATCATAACTCACCATCGAAATATTTATGCCATCATGAGATCATATTGAAATAAGACTAAATCGAAATTAATGTGAAGTAATACAAAGTCATTATAGAGCAACAGGGAATATGCATTATATCGGACAGTTTAGACGATTGTATTCAAACCTCTTCTTCGGTATAATGAAACTGATATAATTATAAATAAGAATATTGGTCAATAATTTATGTGATCTATGTGAATGCAGTCTAATCTAGTGAGACGGAAATAGTCTCACCTTGCTTACGTTGAAGTTGCACTTAGTACTTATCCTGTATTTTACTATCATGGTTGCCAAATAAATTGACCTCCTACGTAGCTTGGGTAAACACACACAATAGGCTACAAAATATACTAGTATTAACTCGTAAAAGAAGTAGACGTCAATTGTTCTTCACCTTGACGAGGATCGGTCGATTTCGAAGCTCAGTACCTTGCCTTTTCAATGAATTACTAAGGCTCAATTACATTTCTTGGAACACTAAACACCTGGACAACCTGTATATATTCAAGCAACCGGGAATATGCATTATATCGTTAACTTACATTTGTTGGAAAGCGATTTCATATATGAACTTCAGAGAGGCAAAAGTCACTTAATCCACTCAAATTCAGAATCTGTGTTATGAATGATACAGAACGAAGGGATTCTCTGTTAGAATAAACTAGCGGAAAAGATATTTTTAACTCTGGTTATGAAGCAAGTAAAAGTTAGTTTTAGTGATAAATAGTGGATGTCAGTATTTCAATGGAAAAATCTTCATAAGTTCGATACGCCTTAGATAGTGTCTACATTTAAATGGTCAATCAATGAAAATCCCCTCCTAATTTTGATTTAGAATGTAAGAAAACTATAGTGTTGTTTGTTGACAAAGTATAAGTATCATGAAGCGATTAGATTTATAACCAATATATTAGAATTAACGTTTACTGTGTATATTTTTGATCTTAGAATATCAGGAGTTTTCCGATAACCATGGTACTGAGTTGAATCAATTTACAGATAGTTGTTGTGCATACATTTGAAGCAATCTAAATCATTATCCGTGTGTTTGAAATGTAAGCGTTCGTTAGTGAGGAATTAATAATTAATACAGACGATTACGTGAGCGCGTAAGAAACACTAATTAGAAAATGACGATTGGTGATTATGGTAAACTGGTATAATATATCTTAGTAAATACATATTTCATCGACTATGAATAGAACATATTGTTTCGAACAATAACCAAATTAATTACTGATATGGTTTTGTGGGAATTTTCGTGTAACCTGAACACCACGTCTCACTAAAAATTGGTTTCATTGTTAACCAGAAAGTAATGAACAGTGGTTTCAATCCAATGCCACAAACATACACTCACGCTTCTATACTCACTGGAACATGGGATGCTCAGAGTTCATAGCGAACAAGGCACCTCTGAGACGGACAACAGAATATGGATGGCATCAGATGATGATTATGACACGTCAAAATCTAGTTGAAGTCGGGAATGTTGACCTTAGGATCTCAACTGTTTGCCTCAACGAGATAGTGAGACTTCATTGTAGACAGTCAGATTTTCTGTGTGGTCATGAGTGAGCACTAATTAAGAATGTCGGATCAGAACAAAGTATCTAGCCAGTCATTCATTTGGTGTCATTATGTCATAACAACTGTCCTCATATGAAATAAATTCCCACAACCAACTAACCAAAAATTGATTGCCGAACCACGTGTTAGAATGATTTACATCGATAAGTATGACATACATAATTTTCCTTGAGTCTTCAGTACTATGATATCGTTTTCAATTACTGAAGTAAATGTTAGTCCCAAAATATTTACTTGTCATTTTGATTGAGTTATTGACTGATAAAACACTGCAGCGACTGGTGGGAGGTTGGCGAATTGATAGTGTTTTCTACAAGGTCAGGTTTTTAGTTTCGACTACATAGATATACGTGGCCCTTGTATTAGAAAGTATGGGGGATGCCTTTTTAGTAACTTCGTGCCTGATGTGATTTCTTTGAATATTTAGTTGACTAAATGCAACTTGAATTCCAGTGTCTACGAAGACTGCTAGTGACTTAATGATCATATGTAAAATTATTAAACACTTTTATTTTTACGGTTTTGTATTTTCTCGTTTTTAGCATTCAGAATTAAAGTTGACTGGTTAATAGTAACTTCATTCCTGATGGATAATTTAGTGGTTATTTGAACTCAATAGCTTAGCTGACGTCTGAAGTGAAAGATATTGATTACCGGTCTTAGTGTGAACACGAAATCTAACTCACGTTTATCTATCTGATGAGTCACGAAACACCGATTGTGCTTGACTATTGTTAACCACAATCCCAAGATTTGCTGAACCATTTCTCTTCTTCTTCTTTACAAGACATTTCACGCCGAACAGCAGAGACTGTTTTTATTGTACCTCATATTGATAATAAGTAGTTCGTTTCATAATTCCCTTATAGCACAAATATCAAGCTTTACTGGGAGAAAGTGGTGTTTTGGTACATAGTTTCCTGAATGGCGTAATTTCGCAAATATTATTTGATTCGGTAGCAAGAGAATGCTGAAGATGACTTGGAACGCTGTATATATGAGACAAATATTCTTGGTCCACTAAAACCATGGTCAACTGGTATATTTCAGAAAATACTAGTAAAAATAAATTTATTTGAGAGAATAGAACTTCTTATCCTAACAGCTGTTCAAAGTTTATATCCAACAGTAGATCATTTACAATCAAATTCCGAATTCTTTAGCGTCCACGTCTTGGACTTCGCCTACTGTTTGGTCTCCTCTTGCCTATCAATGAAAGAAAATATTGTTTAGTAGGAATACTAGTAGATTTTGTACTGTGCGCAAACACAAAAAGTGGTAATGATTTCTTTTATGCTGCTGAGTTAAAAGACACCAAGGATCTCTTAGTTCAAATGTGCACTGTGATTTAGATTTTGTCACGTTGATGACTGCTTTAGTTAACTTGCTAACTCTTGTTCACTGATTGTATCTATCCTGATTTGACACATTGGACAAACAATTTTTAATTAAATTTTTTTAAAATACAACACGTCACAGTGAACTAACTTTCCCTCTTGTTTATATGCGTAGGACAGTTTCATAGTCAGACAATATCGTTATTTATGGTTTGGAGAACAGTGTCAAAAATATTAACATCACATATATAGTCGATGTTCAAGAATTTCTGAATAAAATAGGTGGTGAGTTATGTGACAGATTTTTAAAGGTAGATTACATAGACTTAACAAATCTAATAAATTCACACTTATTATTACGTACAAATCAGGTAAGAACCCGTACTTCATAACTTCTCATCTCTCAATTGCTGAAAATCTCAATTCATGTAGTATGTTTATTAAACTTGATATTGTGAGGAAAATATTTCATTTCCTATCACAGAGTTTATATCAATAATCTCAGATGAACTAACGTATAATGATTTCATTGAGATAGAACTGTCTTGGTTCTTTGTAATAATCATATGTTAATCGATTTAAATATTATGTAAAATATTTGTCTATGTCGTCTGGTAAAAAAGTTTACCATATAATTGTTCATATAACAAATTTATGTTTACCTAGCTAGTGTTACAATATACTCTGACGTGTTAATTAATACATAATTAACAAAATACGTGTTAAAAACTACAATAATAGGTCGGTATGAAGAAACTAACCGCAACAGTAACAGCATGTGTCATTGCGGCGTGGTGATTGCGATAGCCCTCGATTTGGGTGTGGGGATGCACCCCTACTGGTAGGCGTTCCACTCCGACTAAAATTTCCTGGTTGCTGTCGGATAACTTGGTCTTTCTGTGGCATATTATAAAAGTTTACTCTTATATAAACTTTTATATACTTGGATGTCGAGTGCACGAACTAATTATCCAATCAAATATGTTTCCAACCAATTTATCAAGCTGGGCGGTGTACTTTACAAGTATTCATTTATTTGTGAACAAATTTTCATAAAATTGTTAGCTTTTGTCCTTGATAGGTTACTTTTCACCTGGTGAAGGGTACTTAATGACCAAAACTCTTGGAGTACCAATTGTAAGTAAATCCGATCACATGACAACATCATTAGTGCAGGTGAACCATCCAGGAAAACAACTGCTTTATATAGTAACATTGCCTTGATTATTTCAATTCAATAAGCAAATAAATAGGTCAAGGAAAACCCATAAATAAAGTCGTGTTTTCTCAAATATATCTACTTAAAAAATCAAGATGGAGTGGTGGGTTTATGGTTAAAGAATCCGAATTTCAACCATTAGGTGACAGGTTAGGACTCCACTTCACCTACTTCGGTCTGAGATATCGAGTAGTGGTCGAGCTCCGCAGCTTCCCGGGAACCCAAACTAGTTAGCAAGATGAATTTAAGAGATATTTTGGTCGAGTAAATGAACTGAAGTCAATCATAAATAGAAATAGGACAAACAAAAGCAGTGATAGGCACTACAAGAGAGTTGTACTGATTAGTCAGAGTAATCAGTTAAATGAAGGAGTTAGATTTCTGTCAATTAGGAAGAGAGAGATCGGTGAGTCTTTCGTGAACACACCTGAACAAACGTTTTCAGAGTTTGTTACTATTAGGAATCCATTGAAAGTTATGTCACTTTCAGTTACAAATCATTGCTTTTGCTTGAGAGGAACAACACACAGACCCTAAATTTACATCTCACATGTTGATATTTGCTTTACCACCGTCGACTACTTTACGTTTTAATTTCACCTTT